CCCCATTAACTCAAATCTCCTTAATTCATCTACCGCTGGAAAGAGAGTCGAAAACTGCACAAGATAGTGGGTGAACGAAAGGGGTTCGACTTACTTGGACTGAGATAGACGCAGAACAAGAGAAATGACAAATGCAGATCGCTTAAACATTTGTCCTCGACTGTAGTTACATGCAAATGAGTGTTGCAAGAAGTGGGGCAGCACACTTTTCCTCTCCTATTGCAGTTGCATGTCGATGATCGGTGCTATTAAAGTAACATAGAGATGTTTTTCCCGACAGCGTTATAGTAACCATTATATATCCGAACAAATACAAAGTAAAACCTAGTTCGAAAAAGATTATTTCAAAAGCAAAAACATTAAAAACTTAAAGAGTAGATTACCAATGATTATCGTTTTAGCTCTACCCAACTTTGCATCAGTAATTACAGCAAAAATAAGTGTTGAAACGTAGCTTGTTCCTATTATTAAAAACAATATAAACGATGTTTTTTTTCAGGCATTTCATTGAATCCATATGAATTAGTCAAATTACATCACTTTTTTGTTTGAAATAAAAAGGCTTTCAGCGCAATCCCTTCCGGGATTAAAATGTGAAACACGATCCAGCTACTTTTCCTAATTGCAGGGAATCTTTTAAATTTATCTATTTCGGAGCGCATTTCTAAAATATTGTTTTATCCATTCCTTCAAAACTGGAATCAAAAATTAGCTTATACGTTATAATAAAACGTTTTTGATGCGTGGTCTCTGATCTTATATCAACAGTCTTGTATACTCAATGATTGCTTCTCGAAGTGTTTATGAACATATTAGACGTGTTAGTCATCGTCTGTGAGAAGTATTCTATTATCAACTAATTCTTCATTATGAGGTGAATAATCAGTCCCAAACTAGCCGTTAATTAATAAACTACTTAATCAATTAGCCACTAACTCTAATTAATGAAGTCTTAGTTAGTTATTAACCAACTAATTAATAAAATGTCTGTCACGGTCTGTGATGGTTGCTAAGGTGTCTGTCACTTCTGTGATAGGCCGTTGCTAAGGACGTCTGTCACGTCTATGATAAGCCGTTTTCAACGTGTCTGTCACGTCTGTGACGTATCGTTGCTAAGGATGTCTGGCACGTCTGTGGGGAGGGGAGCGGGGGGGGGGGGGTCAAAATTTCTACCCTATATACTGCAACACTTCTTTTAGATCGTGTTTCACAAAAAAACTTAGATATATAATTTCTATATTATTTACCAGAAAGAATAAATATAGCAGCTTGGCTGTGATTGTCATCCCATTGAAGTTTCTCTTCTAGTGAAATGAAAAGCATGTTCATTAATGCATAAAATGCGATACGTTCGAAAAGAGTGCATGCAAGAATGAAATATAATGCTCGCTTTTTTTGAAGACGATTTCGGTTATCTTGTACAGTTGCAAACACACCAGATCTACTAATTAGTGGCGTTGTATCTTCATTGTTCCTTGCATCCATTTTCAGGATTATCAGTTAAATGTCATGTAATGATTAATCTAAAAGGTTAAAAATAACTATAATTCTTTATCTTGAATAAGTGAAAAACAAAAACATTGGGATGCAACTAGGTAAAGAAGAATGTCTGCTGTCATTTGACGAAAGGATAGAGAGTCAGAACATGAAATAAATATTTATTTGTCTAATAGTGACCAATGTAGAAGCCACATTAAACAAACTTTCTCTCTCTCAGAAAAGATTCCAAAGAATTGGGAATTTGGGAAAGATAAATAAAATGAAGGTGGATGGTAATATTAATGAATAGATCGAAATTTTCGTAAAAAAAAATGTTTACTCATTTGAAAATATTTTAGACGAGTCGGAATCTATGGATTAGAACCGGCATTTTGTGCTCTTTCTAATATGGACTTAGAAATTTTCTGTCAATTTTTGTTTAAGAAAAGTGAAGAAATCGTTGCAAGACCTTACAAATTGATTTGAACGACGGCGTATAAACAGGTTTTTGCTAACTCATATGGGTCTCTTTGCGAAGATCCTAAAAGTTATTGGACATGAGTTTTATGAAGCCAACATTACTTTAAAGAATGTGATATTGAATAATCTGTAGTCTTTAGATGAGTGAAGTTATATATATTTTGTCATGGGCTCCTTTATATGTAAAACGCCTTTTGGTTAAAGAGTCGATTTCTCATAAATAAGGGTGGAGGAAAAACAAAAATTGAAATGTCTCACTCAAAAGCAAAAAACCACAAATAGTACATTGCAAATGTTCCAAGTTTCAGTTTCCAACCACAATGGTTAAAATATTAAAAAGTGTGAAAAATTTCTATCCACCCGTTATTACAAATCTTTCATGTGGGTAATCCCATTTCGAAAAAAAATAAAGCGTATCGAATCGATTGTTTGGATGAATTTGAATAGAATTATCAAATGATTAAGAAGTTCAATGTGACTCTATTCGATTAGAAAATATAAAGATAAACGAATGCAAAACGTTAATAATACTTGAAAAGATTACCATCGTCAAGCGATATTTATCAACGCTAAAAGGTTCTTTGCTAATTATCTTTTTCGACAAATACTAATTATAATATCTTTCGTACTAGATCGAGGTTCTTTTTATATGTTTGTAGATGAGGATGATTAGGCGGTAATGAACGTTGTCCAATATCGACGGCACTTTCATAAAATGAAAGTGCTTTTGAATACTCGCCCATATCTTTATACACCACACCAATATTATTGTAGGACATACCTAAATCAGGATGATTAGGAGGAAGACATTGTTTTCGAATTTCAAGAGCTTTTTCGTGAGATGAAAGTGCATCTAAATAATGACGCATTTTGTAACTAACTAAACCAATGTTATTGTGAGATGCAGCCAAATCAGGATGATTGGAACGAAGTGTTTGTTGACAGATTTCAAGAGCTTTTTCATGAGATAACAGTGCTTTTGGATACTCATCCATATGGTTGTATACTAGACCGATGTTGTTATAGGACATAGCCAAATCAAGATGATTCGGAGGAAGTAACCGTTGCCGAATTGTCAGTGCTTGTTCATACAATCGAATTGCCTCTTGATAATTTCCTTGATGATATTTGGCTGACCCAAGTCGATGATAAATATTTCCTTTCTCGCTCTCGTCACTTGTTTGTTCCAAAAGAAATTCATACACTTGTTCGGCCTTCTTTGGTTGACCTACTTTAAGAAGCAATTGACCTAATCGATCCCAACCTGTTGATCCTTCAGTCCGTTCTCGAATGTATTCTGTAAGTTCACGACGTTCTTCGTCGTTATCACTGGTAAGTGTCAATTCTACTTGGTAAAGAGGATTATTCTTCTCCATTGGTTGGATATTACAGATGCGAAAAACCGTATGCATTGAAAAGAGTACTTCACCTTCTTTATCTCCAAAGAAGCTAATGTCATTAATAGAAGCGAATGGTATTATCGATTTGGTCGGATCAATTGTCATAACGAAAAGAATACCCACCAAATTTTTATCAGAAAGTGATTGTTTAGCAAATCCCAACGATACATCACGATTACTACTAGTAGACAGAAAGTTGTTGAATGATATAAGACTGTTGTTCATTTCTTTCATTTCTTTAAAATTTGCTATGGATAAACCTTGACCACGAAACACTGTGAAAGTCTTACTCGATTGATGGCCAGCAAATTGTTCTTTGTGTAATTGTTCAAGCTGACGATGAAGATCATTCACAAAAAATCCCATTTTAATGATGATATCTATGTCCATTGCTCGTAAGGCACCATTGAGCATTGAATATAAGAAGGAATCGGATGTGTACCACCAAATAGGTGTTTTATTACGATATTCTTGCTTGAATTCTTTGACAATACCGAATTCTCCCTTTTTGATGCAGCGTTCATAGCAAAAGTTGATAAATGCGTCAAAATGATGTTGTTCGAATTCAATACTTAACAAGATTTCTTTGAGGATTTGCGTGTACATAAACAATGCCTCCAATCGGTTTAGTTTTTTGTTCGTTGCAGTGCTATGAGTGTTTGTGGATACGATACTCATTGAAATGGCGTTTCGTTCACACTGTTTAGCAACTTCTTTTAAAGCTTGACAAACCAGTAGGATATGATTGAAAATGCCTTTGATTTTTGACCAATTTTTTGCCCATTCTTGGTTCAATTGTATGTTTTCACAAAAGATAAAAATTGAGTTCACTTGCGACATATCATGGAATCGTGGAACAGTTTTTCGTCCAAGTGAACCTGAGGTAATTATACATACATTTTCATTGTTGATTGCTGAGAGAAATGTTATGCACTGATTACCATCTGTGAATGTGTAGATTCTATTAACAATGCGACGCAGTTCTGTCAGGATTTTCTGAGAGTCTCTATTGTACTCTTCATCAATCGTTTGGTCTAACCAAATAATAAGAACGTTTTGTAATATACGCGGATTATTTTGTAGACATGAATTTGGAACTTCAAAGGAACTAGATGCTTGTATAATCGTTCTTTCGTTAGTAGATTCGACAATTGATGTTGAATCGTTATGACTTAAAGTTATTCCCATGCCAATTGATAAGTTAAACGAGAGACGAAGAAATACTATTGAAGAAAACGTCTGTTGAGCACGCTGTCTTTTGTAGATGATGAATCAATTGTTCGAGAAGTTTTTCCCTTATGTCATTTTTTTTTGTTATCTATGACGCACTATGGTTTTTTTCTTTTAAATATGATGTAAATATTATGAATGTGACTGATAAATGTAAAAAGTTCGAAGAATAAGCATTTTGCAGTTCTTTTTCTTTACTTTTCATCGATATTGATGAAGAATTTTTTATCTCATATAACGATAAATAATGGGTAGGCCATAAAGAATTCCCCTCTTAATATTTTTAATATTTTTCCTTTATTGTCCCTGTCATTAAAAATCTTTTTTTATTAAAAGATAGCGCTTGAAATTCTCTACAAAACCATATATAACTAGATCCTAAACTTGTTTTAGATATATTTGGAAAAAAGTTGAAAAATAAAGACGCGTAAAAAGTTATAAAATGTAACTGGCTGGACATAATGAATGGGCGTGCTTACATTTAATGTTTTTATTACTTCACCCTATTTAGAAACAAAATATACCAAAAGATGCAGTGCGAAAAGGTATACAATTTACATAAGACCGTTTGTTTTATAGTTGCGCTTTTTGTTTTTAAAATGGATAAAATTTTGAGTGGTAAAATTGTAACCTGGCAAAAATAATTTTTTTCTGTTACAAGATGAATTTGTTTTTTCTTATTTCATCTCCTTGTTACCTGATATGTTTTACTTTAAAAAAAAAAGACACCAGAAGATGCAGCGTGAAAAGCTCTACCATTTATGAAGAACAAATTATAAAAAAGGGGAAATAAAAAACAAATTCATTTTGTACCAAAAAAATATATCATTTTCGCGCGGTCGAAATTTTATCACAAAAAAAATTTGGTCCATCTTGAAAACAAAGCAGTGCAGTTATAAAATAAGTGGTCGTATATAAATTGTAGAGCTTTTCATGCTGCATCTTTTTGTGTATTTTTTCTCTTAAATAGGGCGAAGTTAGTGATGAAAAAATGGGATGGGAAGTACAGTCAGTTATTATGTCCAACCCGTTACATTTTACGGCTAATTGCGAGTCTTTATTTTTTTAATTTTTTTCCGATATATGTGAAACAGTTTTATGATCTAGTCATATGTGATTTTGTAGAGAATTTCAAGCGCTATCTTTTGATAAAAAGAGGTTTTTTAATACGACAGATAATAGAGGAGAAATCTTAAAAATACTAAGAGGGCAATTCCTTATGACCCACTTGTTAGATAAGAACAAAATACACACAATCTTTATTTCGCAGTTTATTAAGAAAACGCTTGAAGCATATGTGTTGATGAAAAAAAATTTATCTATGGCAGGTTAAAGTTAGGTAATTCCGTGGGATTTCTCCCATGAAATACAGAAGTATCTCCGATTGGTCTTCAAATAGCATTAGCCGATAGAACTTTTTACGCTGATCATTTTGGTCACCAAAAGTCTAGCATTGACTGTAGGGTGTGGGTGTGGGTGTGGGTGTGGGTGTGGGTGTGGGTGTGGG